ACCTTTGACCTTGACCACAATCTGAACACATTGATCCTTGATCCTGACCCCAGTCTGAACCCATTTGACCTTTGATCCTGACCCCAGTCTGAACCCCTCTGACCTTTGACCCTGACCACAGTCCAAACCCCCCAGCTGACTTTCTGTAGGGACGTTTAACGGCAAAACAAGATTGTGTAAAAACCTGATCCAGCGTCAGCGGCTTCAGCTGAACAAACAAAAACAAAAGGTTAGATGTTCCTCGTGTCCCTGATCTGCCCCAGGAGGAAGACTGACCCCAGTCTGTCTTTAGAAGCCCCTGAGGCTGCACAGAACCACAGCAGTTCTGAAGGTTCTGGTGGTCCTACAGGACGATGCCTCTCAGTGACAACTGGATGATGTAACCGGAAAGAAAATAACTTTAAAATGAGCTGTGAGATTAGAAATCAGCTAAAAACAGCTGAACGAAGCTAAAATCTACTGAACAAAGCTAAAATCTTTTGAAGAAGCTAAAATCAGCTGAACTAAGCTAAAACCAGCTTAACAAAGCTAAAATAAGCTGAAGAAGCTAAAATCTACTGAACAAAGCTAAAATCATTTGAAGAAGCTAAAATCAGCTGAACTAAGCTAAAACCAGCTGAAGAAACAAAAATTAGACGAAGAAGCTAAAATCAGCTGAACTAAGTTAAAATCAGCTGAAGAAGCTAAAATCATTTGAACTAAGCTAAAGCCAGCTGAAGAAGCTAAAATCAGCTGAACTAAGCTAAAACAATCTGGAAAAGGTAAAATCAGCTGAAATCATATAAATTCATCTGAAGAAGCTAAGATCAACTGAACTAAGCTAAAACCAGCTAAAGAAACTAAAATCAGCTGAAAGCAAATAAAATCAGCTGGACTAAGCTAAAGTCTGGAGAAGCTAAAATCAGCTTAAATAGGATAAAATCAGTTGAAGAAGCTAAAATCAGCATAAATCAGTGGGAGATGCTAAAATCAGCCCAAGAAGCTAAAATCAGCTAAAATCATCTGAAAACCCAAATGGAGTGGTTAAAGTTAAAATAAGCAGAACACAAGCTAAAGTGAAAGTTTTCTACATGCGCCTTAGAATCTAGCTGTTTTTTGTTACTTTTTTTTTTTTTTGCCATCCTACTTGTAAAAAAAAATCTGTACGACTTTTTATAACTGTTTATTGTTGTTGCTGTTGTCCATTGTTGTCATCATTCTTTGTTAAATCAGGTCTCTCTTTAAACGAGTCCTCGAGGCTCAATGGGATTTACCTGGAGAAATAAAGGTTGAATGAAAAAATGCTTAAAGTATCAAAACATTTGCTTAAATTAGCAAAATGGCAGTTAGCTAAAAGAAACAGGAAGGTTGCTGAAAGTAGTCAAATGGTAGCTAGGGAAAAGATACCAGGACCATGACCACAGAGCCAGAACTGGGTCAGACGTCAGGACCTGGACTGGGTCAGGCGTCAGGACCTGGACTGGGTCAGGCATCAGCCTGTGGTTCTGACTGGATTTTCTGACTTCTGTCATCTCCAGGTCTTTGTTTCCACAAAACCTTTAGAGATTTCAGCTGGTTCAAATTTCTTGTTTTTCTGACCAAAACCAAAAAGTTACAGATGGTTCTTGAACAGAACCGGGTCAGTTAGGACCCACCCGGGTCTCCTGTAAACTCAAAGACTTCTGGTTCATCCTGACAGTTCTGATGGAGGCTGATGAGACAGCAGCTCGGGTCAACGTCCCGTGGTCTGAGTCATCCGGGCCATGAAACCCAAAGAATGAACAACATTGTGTGTGTGTGTGTGTGTGACAGGGTGCTATTTGTGTGTTTATTGTGTGACACTCTAGTCAGGTCCTCCTTCACATTCCTCCCAACATCTGGTCTGAGTTATGACCCTCAGCACCCCCCCCCCACACACACACACACAGACACACACACACCCACTCCTCCCTGTTGCAGCTGATGGTTTCTCTTTCTGTCCTGACTTTACAAACCCTGCTGCTTGGTTCTCTTTCCCTGGTTCTGTTCTCCTGGTTCTGTTCTCCTGGTTCTGTTCTCCTGGTTCTGTTCCAGCGGTTCTGGACCAACATCATCTCCACCAGTTTGTTCAATGTGAGCTCAGATTTGAGTGTTTGGTGGAACAGCTGATTGTTTAGGTTCTGTCAGGATGGTTCTGCTCTTCTGCAGGTTCTAAAAAGACCCGGACAAAGGTTCTGCTAAATTCTGAACTCGGACCTTTGGTACCAGAACATTTCACCATGTAGACTAAGTCCACAACAAATAGTGAAAATCCCCCACAGACATCCGTGATGTTCAGTTAAACCTGGTCCTGTCTGGACCTGCAGCTCAGCCTTCAGAACCATCATTCTGGGTCTAAACGGGTCACAGGAAGTTGGACAGATGTTTTCAGAACTTTAGCTCTTTTTCCTCAGTTGAACGTGGAGGATTCACTGGTTTGATCCAGAATGATCAAATGTCTCCTGTCTTTAGTCTTTCTGTCTCCGTCCCCCCAGAGTGTCTCCTGGACTGATGGTTCCTCTCAGAGGTCAGAGGTCACACACTCAAACTCCCGTTACCTCCATCGTCTGAGCACCCAAACAGGAAGTGAAGGATCTGATCAACTCCTCATCAAACAGAACCTGTGGTACCATTAGAACCTTCTGAGACCGTCTCTCTGCGTGTCCCTCACATGTACCTCTGTTCTGCCTTGTGGCACGTCAACATCGGTGGCTGTCGAGGTTCCTCAGGTTCCACGTGTCTGATCTGCAGCGTGCAGAAGGAACGATGGAGTTACTCCATGGAGTCTGGGCTGGGGCCATAGTTCTGGTCGGGTCGTGGTACTGGGCCATGGTTCTGGGTCATAGTTCTGGGCCATGGTTCTGGGTCTTGGTTCTGGTCGGGCTGACCCACAGTCAGAGCGGATAACTCGTCATGGAGACATCTGAACATGAAATCTTTGAAGGAGATGAACTCATGAACTGAAGAGATGAACTTTTGTCACGAGTCTGCTTCAACCTTCATGGACCGTCTTAAAGATGAACTCATCTCTGGGAAGAAGTTTGAATCTCTTTGTTTGTTTGTTTGTTTAAATCTCAGCTTCCAGTTGTTTATTAATAAAACAAGAAAGCGTTTTAATAAATTTCTATAAATATTTTATTAATGAAACTTTGGTTTGTTGGAGAGGAGCAACGAGCCGAAGGTATGTGTGCATCAGGATAAAGAGCCCAAGGGTTCGGCTCATCAGTTTGGTCCAGCTTTGTTTCCACAGACG